GGGGGGGGGGGTCTTTTCAATTTAAAGAAAGCCAAATCCACATTTAAGACTCTACAGTTAGCCCTCAAACCTCAATGAACCATTCTGTAAGCATATTTTTTCAAAAATTAAAATCAAAGAAAGCTTTCTCCCTACCCTGGCAAGCTTTAGAAGAGCAAAAGTTTATCCAATTTCAAAATGTAGCAATCAATATTGTGAAAGGGAAGAACAATGTTCCCAAGAAACTCTCAGGTTTGCTATCTTCTCCGTGTCTTGGAATTCAGCATTTCCACTTAGCAGCTTCACTTGGGTGAAGACTCTAGTAGTTGTTTTTGTGCAAGATTTAGAGGAATTAGATTTTGTTGATTTAAGGTTAGATTTTGTTATTGTGTTTGGCAGGGGAAGGACTTAATATGCCAAGTAAGCCCAGCACATTTGATAAGAGTTGTGGTGGCGTGGTGACTGGAATGCAGTATTTGAGACTAATTCTGTCAACTGCCAGCAGTTTAATTATCATTGGCTCAAGGTTGACTCAGCCTTCTATCCTTCCGAGGTTAGTAAAACGAGGACCCAGATTGTTGGAGGCAATATGCTGACTTTGTAAACCTCTATAAAATGGTATATAAATCTAAATGCTATTGCTAGGTGCATGGCTCATTATACTTAGGGAGAACCCTAAAAATGAATTAATAAGCAAATTGTGTATGTTGTATAAAGGCTGCCATTGTTACAACTCACCACTAAGTGTAGCTGAGGTTGACCCTCACTAGACGATGTGCAAGACAGAGTATGCGATCCATCTGTGAGGCTCATAAAGATGGGTTGCTTTCTTGGATCTAAGGCATTATTGGGGAGCACAGCCATCCACACTTCTGGTGAAGAATGGTAGACAAAAGCCAAGATTAACGTCACACACTTCTTTCCCTGGTTCAGAAAATTTGGATTAAAAATCCACTGACATAAGGCTAATTATAGAACAATAATATAGGCTTCAGCTTATGACCACAATTGACCACAAAATTTCTGAAACTGAGACATTTTCTAAGTGAGTTTTCCCCCATTTTATGACCCCTCTGTGTTGTTAAGTGAATCATTGCAGTTATTAAGTTAGTAACATAGTTGTGAAGTGAATCTGGATGCTCATTGACTTTGCTTGTCAGAAAGTCGCAAAAGGGGATCACAAGGCCCCAGGACACTGGAACAGTCATAAATATGAGCCAGTTGCCAAGTGTCTGAATTTTGACCACGTGACCATGGGGATGCTGCAAAGTGTGAAAAACCGTCATAAGTCACTTTTTTCAGTGCCGTTATAACTTTGGTCACTAAATGATATGTTGTAAGTCGAGGATTACCTGTAAACTCGTTAGCATCCAATAGGAACGTATCTGAGACCTCTTTAGAATTGCAGGGGGTAGGTGAATTGAGCATATAGCTAGTTTCATTCTCAGTA